TAAAAAGTGGGTCGGTCGTATTGCATGGGAATGGATAAAAGTGAAAGGGGAATTGCAACACCAAATAATGGTGCTGCACAATGTTTCTGGGATAAAATTTGCAGTACTAGCGCCTATAGAGCACAGCTTTTGGGCGGTTTACCCACAATATGGGACCAGTCCGGTTAAAAACTCACATTCCGTAACCAAGGATCATCTCCAAGATTATGTAGCCAAGACCCCAAGAATCAATGTAGTGGTTGGCCTCAGCTGGTTGACTGTAAATTTCGGGCGCCAAGTAAGCAGCGTAGTAATATTTGGTAGGTGGATCATCCGTTTCGATATCTGTGTTAAGGTCAGGTGAAGCCCAAATTGATTGCGGCTCTCGAACCAACTCCTTCCCGAGGGACTGATCAGCACAAATCCTCTTCCCGCTGTCTCCGTCCAACTGCATTTGTTTTCTTACCGACGGAAAGTACTTGGCCATCCCAAAGTCAATGAGCTTAGGACGGTTGCGGTAGTCGAGCACCACATTTTCTGCTTTCATGTCTCTATTAACAAGTAACCTTTGCGCCCAATTGAATTACAAAATGACAAGCCATTCGATGTTAACATTGCCTTACGTACGTTTGAGTATTAGTTGCAATTTATTTAAAATATTCCTCATGCATCGAATTTTCGTAAGCATTTAAAATGGTCCCCAAACTCTTAAACTAACTCCAGTAAGTTAACATGTAATTAACAATCGAAAATACGTATTTAGGCATTTTTTATTCAAATTTAAAAGACACACAGCTTACCACAACCATTTAGCAAGGTGTAGAGCTATTTGTGGTTTCGTACTTATCCTATTCAACGATGGTAGCCGTTTACGTGGTGAAAGTGAATCTTGCGTTTCCCAATTAAGTTCTGAAACACTAGTAAATTCCCTCTCTTGATGATACGTGTTTTATGAAGTTAAGGAGGCCTATTTTCTCTGTTAGAAGTCAAGTGTCAGGGTTAACAAATTCGTGGCACCAGTAGAGTACCAGCGCCTCAATTAGGCCTGTGCAAATGAATGGTGCTATTTCATTTGGGTAGAATAAACTACTGACCTATAAACAATGCCTCTTGCGTGGAGATAGCTCAAGGCAGTCAGAATGCAGGCCGCGTAGTAGATGGCATAGCACTCGGGCAGCGTTCCTAATCGTGCGATGTGGCTCCAAAGACAACCTCCACTCAGATATTCAAAAGCCATAAACAGAGCGTCATCCGTTTCGTAGATGTGGTATGTGCTGCAAGGCAAGCGCAATGCAGTTGCAAATTAATTTCCTTCAACATGCACAGAACCATCATCAACAGCTACTCTTGAAATGAGTGCACCCCTGGAATTAATCGCAATTAGTGCTTCTTCTGTGTTTGTATTAGTATGTTAAAGTTGGTCCCTTCCACTGCAATTGTACTGTAGTATCAACCAGTGGTCTCGTTTACTTTGCCAAGAAAGTAAAGGACTTCAAAATGGTCAAAAGTCAAGGCATATGCATACGCTATTCACGTTTTTCTGGTTATTCCGGAAGCTACACAATTCACTGATGTAGAGCAACAATTTTTTATTTCCTCACATAAAATGCTTATTCTAGTAACAAAAAAATAGAACAAACTTCCAATGCACTGAAGAAGGGAATACAGCAAAACTGAGGTAAATCAAAGGGTATGAATCCTATTCATGATCTTCTGGACCCAGTGGCTACATTTTCCTACCAAAGGTAGGCGTCCTCATCCATGCCTCTGAATGAAATTGTTCCGTGATTTATTACCAAAGAGAAAGCAATTGAATGAGTATACTTATGAACAGGTGCGAAAGTGTTTAACAAATCCCATCCAAACTAATGCATTTATAGTATGGAATGAATGGTGGTAGCCAAACACAAAAGTGTTTGTCCAACGTAAATTTTTTACCGAGCAAGCGCTAGGAAGTAGACAAAAGGTTTAAGGTGATTAATTGGTAGTGGTCCGTTTGAGCCTGTCATTGCCATAGAAGGCACACGCCATCTACCTCCACCATCCATCTGCAATTCCTCACACGTCAGCACGCTATTTCTGCCTTTAGCATACTCTGAAAAGTTTTCAAGTTCGGCCAACATTACATATTTCCGCTACTACCGCATATTTATAGAATTTGTGTCCTAAGCTAAAATTGCACGTTTACCAGAAGCGTCCCTCTTTCTTCCAAGCGTCATTTGTATCGCGCTTCCGCCTCCATGGATTGAGCAAATGCCTTTTTCACAGTTGTCACTTTCATTTAGAATTCCATAATAGGAGTTCTCCTCAACCAAGAGGTAAACGAGTTTATCAATGTAGTGGATGTGACATTGCAAAATTTCCAATTTTACTGCCATCTAATCGACTTTTCCACATGTACATTTCAACATCACAAGATACAAATAAATGAATAGCCATTGAGGCTTGCATCAAATGCATTGTTGTTGATTATGCCCTTCAGTGAATGGGCCTAACTAACAAGCCCACCCTGACTGCAATCGTAAATTGCTCAACCCGTAGTGCTGAGTCTGTGTAAGTGATGTGCTTTGACGATGTAGCCGCAGCTTTTGGCACCTTTGGATTTTTCACCTTCAAGAGTGCTTGTGGGACCTAATACTCTGTGACATTCCCCTTTCACAAGGAGGCGGGAAACGGTCTGATGGTCAAAAGTGCTCGCTCATACGACTTGAGCTGCTATTCATGATAATCGCCTCTATACTACTGATTTAAAGCAGAAATGCCTTTTTGCAACCCTCCCAATGAGTAAGGAATGGTTGCCTTTGTTCAGTGCGCTTTATCATTTGTGGGCACTAGTATCTACTTGTGTTTTTTAACAAACGCGCAGGGGTTATTCTGAGCGGGAAGCTGGGAGCTTGAAATATGGGAGGGAGATTCAAACCACTTTTTATTTACACCAAGACGTTGAGCAATGGCGAAAAGGGCACAACTAATCAAGTAATTCATTTGGATCAAATTATGGAAACCCACATACTTGACAATAAAAGGATGTTTAAGCTTTTGAAGGATTTTTGCCTCCCGGCGCTCTATCAGCCAGTTTTTCTCACTTCTGCCATCGCGCACCTTGAATTTGAGGGCATATTGCATGGACGTGTTAGGTAAGTGGACCCAGGCTACCGTCCCTTGACCTCCAGTACTCACTTTCACTGGACTCATTGGCACGAAGTCGTCGAGGGCGGGTAGCGGATTCGCCTGAAAGGCACCCTTGCCATTGATAGCTTTCTGTTCTTTCATATGCCATTCGTAGAGCACAGACCCCGTCTGAAGCTTTGTCATTTGCCCCACCTTCGTGCAAATGCGTGCTTTCTCATTTGAGGTAAAATCATACATGCCTTTAGAGCGGAAAGCTTTGGGAGAATTAAACCTCTTATTTTCGTGTTGTTTTGCGGTCTTCAGCGACGCCTTGCTACTGTCAGTATTTAATGGGGTGCAATTTCTCGATACTGTGATGGAGGAATTGCCTTTACTGAAGACTCTACGAAGGGATTTTCCACCAGAAGTTGAAGGATACGGCTGATCAGACCTACTTTCGACAGTTGGAGTGACTTGAAAGACGATAAGATGGCAATCATTTCAGACTTACAGATCTGTAAAGACTAATGTGTTCAAAATAGACTTTCGGAAACTGACACAAACTCGGGGTTTGGTTACTCGGTTAATATTTTAGCAATTGACCTTTGTAACTCAAATTTTGAAAGCAAAAAGCAAAAAAATTCAAGATACACAAAGGTACGGGCTAAAAATTTCAACATGATGCTTGCAAATTAAAAAATACGTCACTTCAAATGTAAGTTAATCAGCATGCCTCACGTTTGTGCGATACCAAGTTAAGATAGAAACGCACCACAACCACCCTGTTCGAGTTCATGTCGTGAAGAACTCTGGCTCTGTTCGAAATCCATTCTATTTGGACGGACTGCAAAACCCAACTTGACAGATTTACCTCGGCTTGTCATTACATCTCTATGACTAGACATCGTACTTTTGATCTTGAAAATTTCTGTTGAAGTATCCGCTGATAGTGACTTTATGCACCATTCTTCGTTTGCTTCCCTTTTCAAAGGATTGCTTTCGTGGTTGATATGGAAGGCAGATTGTCGGCACCGGTAAAATCCACACACCCTAGGGGGTTTAGTGTCACTTGCGTCTGTTCCTCTTTTCTGTGCAGGAAGTGTTTGACGTGTATTTAGTTGTACCACTTTTCTCGGCAGATTCTGTTTGCATGTGCAATGATGCACTTCCTGCATAGTACCTATTGGTGAATTTTCTTCAGCATAGTGTCTT